TTAGGTAAACATATCGAAACATGTGTGTTAAGTTTTTTTCGTTTTCATGATGGTGGCCTCTTGTGAAAGTGATCTGCTAGCTCTTTTTAATGGTTTTGAGTTGTGTTGTGTCGTGTTGTGTTGCTCGCATTCCCATATTGTGAGCTGGGATAAGTTATATTGTTGGAAAATCGAAAGAAAAAGGGGCCATCTTGGTACTATTTTTATGCCCTTTGTTTTGTAGATTATTTGTGTATTAAGTTAATTAACTGTTAGTCTTTTGGGGTTCCATCCATTTTTTTTTTTTTAATATTTTGATTGAGCATTTTCCTGTTTCTTGTTATTCGATTCTCAAAATTCATCTGGCTTTCAAGAAACAGTTGTTGTTTGAGTTGAATCTTTGGTGCTTTGGGCCAAGAATATCCTGGGCAGTGTTTGTGGGGTCGAAAGCTTGATTTTATTATGGCTTTGTGATAAAGTTTGATCCTTTGTGTTGGCAGCAAATCATTTTAAGGTGTTATTAGAGTGCTCCTATCATACTTCAGAAAAAAAGGGTATTTGCTGCTTTTAGCTCAATGTATGCGTAAATATTAATGTTCCCTATGCATTGTTCTGAGTTTTGTGATGCTCATTTTCAAGATCCGCGTTTCCCATTGTATATATCCCCATGTTACAACATTTGTCCCTTTTGGTGGATTTAATTCACATGCATATACATTTGCTTAGGGTTGAAATTATTGCTTTCTGATGCTCAATGAGCAATTGATATTTGTGATTTTGGTACAGTGAGCTATCAGCGTACTGTATATGGTTAGATTGTTCCTCAGATTCATAATAAATTAATTTTTTTTTAATTTTCTTTGGCTCGATTCATTCTGTAGTTTTGGACTTAGTCTACTTGAACAGTCTCCCTTTTTGTTCTTTTCCGTCGAGTTAATGTAAAAGTTTCCAGTTACTTTTATGTATGGTGCTTTCACAGTGAAGTTAGATTGTTTCCATGTTCATTATTCTTGTTTTTTTCTTATCTAAGCACGTAATGATGGGTTGTTTTGATTTTTCAGTCTTGGCATTTGGTTGAGGTGTTTGTGTTAGCAGATGATACTTGTATCAGGTTAGAATATGTCGAGGGTTTCCAAGTGGAAGCTTGAGAAGACTAAAGTGAAAGTTGTCTTTCGGCTCCAATTTCACGCGACACATGTATGGCTCTCTCTAATTATTCACATTGTAGTTGTATGAATATTCTATCGACTGCTTGTCCGATCATTTGGTAACTTTCTATTCTGAATTCTGATAGACTTTCCTGCTTTCTCTCTATCGGTTTGAATGAACTGTAATTTGTCTGAAATTTATTAGAGCTCTCCATTTTGTGCATTTAAATTTGTGCTACATCTTACAGAATGCTTTATGCTTTGACATTTCAGATTCCACAGTCGGGTTGGGATAAGTTGTTTATATCATTCATCCCTACTGATTCGGGGAAGGCAACAGCTAAGACAACCAAAGCCAACGTAAGAAATGGAACATGTAAATGGGCCGATCCTATTTATGAAACCACAAGGCTTCTCCAAGATTCTAAAAGCAAACAATACGATGAGAAGCTTTACAAGATTGTCGTGGCCATGGTACTATTTCTTAGCCGTTATGATATCAGAATTTGATACTTCATACTTGAGATTTTTTTTTTTTGGTATTCTGATGGCATGACATTTCTGAACAGCACAAGATCAAATCTATAAAAAATGTGAAGGCAAATGAGAAAAAAAAAGGAAAGTGTTAACGGGGACCTGATTGATGATGCATAGATCAACAGAGTATATTCCGGTTTTCCCTGTTTGTATAAAGAATAAAGAATCCGAAAAGAAGTTAATGAATAACCAGAATGAAAATAGTGAATGCAGTAGTTGTCAAAGTACCTTTGCGTGACCATGTTAATTGCTGATGAGCTTGGCCTTTTAGTTTCTTGCATTGCCTTGCCAAATTCGCATGAAGGCTTTTAAATTGTTAATAATAGCATCATTTAATTTTAAGAAACATAAAACCATAAAGCCATCTTGTTCATAATTGGGAAAATCTCTTTCTTTTGCTTGGCACAGAATCTGGATGACTCAATAGATGTTAAGGTCTAGAATACCTATATGCATATCTACAAATGTTAAAAATACCAATTTATGAAGTTTCAAGCTTTTCATACGAGTAAAATGAAATACTTGTAGTCAGTTCCAGTTTTATCATCAAACACCCATTCACTTAGTTATCCTTACTAATACCACTTTTGAATGTTCTATTCCCTCTCTCTCTCTCTCTCTCTCTCTCTCTCTCTCTCTTTCTCTCTCCTATTTTTCTTTATGAACTATGCCTTTGCACCTAACTTGAATATTTCCCCTGATGTCTGAATAGAAATTATAAATGCAGCAAAATAAGTACACACGAAAAAGGTTGCTCATGTATGTAAGTGGTTGAACACTGTTGCTTTCGATTTTGATCATACACCACATAGGACTTGACAGCATGAAATCTATGGACTTGTATCACTACCAATTTTGTTGGCCCCCTCTGATAAATCGATCATCTCTGAGCACATTCATGGCTCTTTCTAGCATTTCTTTCTAAATATCATCTGATAATTTTCCATCGATGCCTAAACTATGTAAATTTGCTCAATTCAATTTTCATTTTTCCCAGGGAACTTCACGGGCTAGCATCCTCGGGGAAGCTACCATCAACCTTGCCGACTATGTTGATGCTTTAAAGCCTTCTGCTGCAACACTTCCTCTTCATGGATGCAGTTTCGGAACTATCCTACATGTAATGTAAATTTAGACAAACTGCCAATGCTATGTTAGCCTGTCAATTAGTGAAGACAAGGTTATACCAGTTGGTTTACGGTTAATGGATTCAATTTAAGTGTAATGCAGATTTTTCAATAAAGCATGTGGCTGCCATTCGAAGCATGTTTACCTGTCTTTTGATTATTTTATATATCATTTTGGCAGCCCGGTGATTCCTTTATTTTATTCCTTTAGTTTCATTCTTTACATAAGCCATTGTACTTGTGGTTGTTGTGTATAGCATATTACAATGTCTTTTCTTCAGTTTATTGACCGAGTTCATTTCTATTTTCCAGATTTCTATCCAGCTCCTGACCTCGAAGACCGGATTTAGGTATTGGACTACTAATGCGGAATGCTGAACCAAGTATCTAAACATACATTTTTTTTTATCTTTTATTTATTTTTTTTTGTAGGGAATTTGAACAGCAGAGAGAACTCAGAGAAAAGGGAATACAATCTGGGCAAGACAGCCATGCCCCTGGGAAAATACCATCACCCGGAGAGGTTGCCAATTTTCAGGGCAATAAGGTCTCATTATTATGCACTTCTCATTCGATCTTCACCACAAACTATTGACCATGAGTCGTAAGAAATGCACCTAAATAGAAACTTATCAATTATTAGTACACTTATGGAGAATACATAATTGAAGTCGGGAACTTCTCATTCGATCTATATGACAATGAATCTGTGATGCATAGCAGTAATCGAGCTCTCAAATAGCATTGGTAATTAATGTTCCTTTTATGATTTTATCTTACTTTCTTTCAATTCCTGAAACAGACGAGTTCTCCACTCGAAGAGGAGGCGAACCCGACTGAGGAAGCCGACTCAGCCACTGGATTCGACGCCTCATCCAATACTTCTGGAAGTTTCTATGCAGAGAGGAATGAGACTCCCAGCACACACGAAATTGACAGCCTCCAAAGCAACACGGGGAGAGTGGGTCCCGCTGGTGATCTGGCACTGACTTTTGATGAGAATATCCGCCTCAAAGGGAGCTCGGAGCTAGCTGAGTCATCTCTTTTCGACCTCAAGCTAGAAGTCAGCTCCCTGCAGAGCCTGGCTGACGAGCTAGGTGCTGAGACACAGAGGTTCTCACGGCAGCTGATAATGGAGGTATCCTCAGCCGAACAACTTGCTCGAGAGGTCTCGTCCATTAAATCGGAGTGCCTTGAGTTCAGGGACGAAATAGTCAAGCTCCGAGATTTAAAGTCCAGCCTGTTCACAAATCGGACCGATTTGCAGCTCCAGTTTCCAAAGGGAATTGCCATGGTGGAAAGCAAGATCAGGGACCTTCACAGCAAGACCCGTCTTTCCCCCCATGGTGGTGACCCTAAGTTTATATGCTCGGAGTTGGAAGTTCTGCTCGATTTTCTGCTCGAACTCAAGCTTGAAAACGGGAATGGGCTGGGCTTGGATTTGTGTCAGCCCGAATGCATTCTTCCGAATCCTCCAGATGATATCGATGCAATGAGAGGGCAGATTCTCGATCTCGTGCGGGAGCTGGACGAGTCGAGGGTCGAGAAGGAAGCTTTTATCCGGAAAACGAACCAGATGGAGTGCTATTACGAGGCGCTCATACATGAGCTGGAGGAGAATCAAAAGCGATTGCTGGGCGAGCTGCAGCACTTGAGGAACGAGCACTCTGCCTGCCTCTATTCTTTATCTATAGCCAAATCCGAGGTGGACTCGCTGAGTCATGATCTGAGTCAACACATGGTTCGGTCGGCTGACGAGAGGCGAGAACTGGAAGCTCTCAATGAGGAGCTCGAGAGACGGGCTGTGACTTCTGAAACTGCATTGAAGCGGGCCCACTTAAATTACTCGATTGCTGTGGATAAATTGCAGGAAGACCTCCGGCTGCTCTCTTCACAGGTCACGTCAATGTTCGAGACGAATGAGAAACTCATCAAGAATGCTTTGCCCACGCGGGACATGAAGAGATGTGCGGGTGGCGATATTCTCTTGCAGGACCTGAGAAGATCCCTACGCGTGCAGGAAGAGCATTACGAACGGGTCGAGAGAGAACTTACAGAAATGTACTCGGTTAATTCGGAATTGGATTTGTTCTCTAGGGCACTGGTGGAATCCTTGCGTGAAGCTGATAACAGCATTAGAATTGTGGATGATGAATTGAAACTCTCGATGGCTTCTCAGAACCAGTTGATGATGAACCTGCAGAAGGCTACGGATGATATTCACATGCTCAACGAGTACAAATCGAGTAGCATTTCTCAGTGTAGCGATTTGGCCCTGCAGAATCAACTGTTGGAAGATAAATTAGTGAGTGCTACTGAGGAGAATTATCTTCTTGCTGAGAAGCTGAAGGATTACGAGAGTTATCGGAGCATGTATGCAGCTTGTTTGGCAGAGAATGCGGAGCTCTCTCGTCATTTGGAACAGAAAGGATCTGAAATCGAGAAACTGGCTAATGAAATTTTAACTTTGAAGGAAAAGTTGATGACCCTCAAAGCCGAGTCTGATGAACTTGTCTCATCCAAGAAAAATCTAGAGGAAACTATCGATTTCGTACGTGAAAAGTTGGCCAACCTGTTGGCATCTTACAGCACACAATTTCATTTCGTGGATAATTTTCAGAATCTCGATTCGGAGAGTGTAGATGTGAAAGATGCTGCCTTGCGTTTAGAAAAGATCCAGCTTAGTGTATACACAAAATACTGTGAACTGCTGGAAGAGGATCAGATTCTGAAGAACGAGAGAGCCATTGTTGACCTGTCATTGAGCACTTCCAGGTCAGAAATCGTGATGACGAAGCGAAAGTTCAAAAGCGACTTAGAGGACATGGTGACTAGGCTAGGCGTGTCCAATGCCCTCGTGGGCAAACTTCAAGCCGAACTTGAATCAGTGGATAACAAACTCCGCATGAGTTCCGAGATTGAGGAGAAGCACATTAGCCTGAACAGAGTGCTTATGGCTGATATTGCTCTTTTGGAAGATCAGATGCTAGAATTGACTTGTAAAAATGGTCACCTCTTGGATGAGGTCTCGATCTTGGATGCTCTTGCAGAGGAACATAAAAGGAGTGAATTAACCATTTCTAAGTTAATGCATGATAAAAGAGAACTTAGCAAGTCCTTACAGGAAAAGGCTGAGGAATCTACCAAGCTTTCTGGTGAAATTAGTTATCTGAAAGAAACTTCGAAAAGTTTGCATGATGAGTTGTTCATGGAAAAATCCTATAGAGATGAACTTGAAGGAAAAGTGAGGGATCTTTCTTTCCACTTGAACAAGGCTGAGGATGAGTTGCTTAGTTTCGAACAGCAAAAATCTGAACTAATGCATGTTAGGGAACTGGAATCAGAACATATATCCGAAAAATCGAGACTCGCTCATCTTCTCGATCAGAAAAATATTCTAATAGAAGAGCTTAAGAGAAATAATTGCTACAATGGTATCCTCGAGAGTCAGTTATTAGAGATGCACGAGCACTTGCTTGCAACAGATGTAAGACTGACTTATGTTGCAAACCATTATGAAGCAATCATCGAGGGACTCCTACAGAAACTCGTGTCCTCAGACAGCTGTCTTATGGAACTTCAGAAAAAGTATCATGAGACAGAAGCTATGCTGAGTCAACATCTCGAAGGTGAAACTAACTGGTCAGAAGAAAAACTCAACCTTTTGACAAGTCTGGAAGCTTCTGAAGCTCAAAACAAGATTCTTTCAGATTCAAACAAAGAGACATGGCATCAGCTTGAGGAGTGCAGGAATAAGCTAACAATGATGATTGATGCCGAGCAAGAAATCGACGATTTGGCCATCTCAAATAAAGAATTTGAACTTTTAGTTACAGTACTCGAAAGCAAAATTCGCGAACAGTTTGCTAATATAACATTTTTGGAAGGCTCCAAAGACCAGCTTTCTGTTAAGCTGTCTGAACAGGTTTTGAAGACCGAAGAATTTAAAAATCTTTCTACCCATTTGAAAGAACTCAAAGACAAGGCCGAAGCCGAATGTCTTCTGGCTTCAGGGAAAAGAGAAACGGAGGTGGGCCAGGTGGCACCTTCTCCCGGACAGGATTCTTTACGAATTGCATTCATGAAAGAACAATACGAAACTCAGGTGCAAGAACTGAAGCAACAGGTTTCTATATTGAGAAAGCATGGGGAGGAGATGCTGCTGAGGCTGCAGGATGCAATTGATGAAATTGAAAACAGGAAAAAAACCGAGGCTGTGAATGTGAAGAAAAACGAGGAGCTCTTGATCAGGCTCTCTGCTTTAGAGGAAGAGTTGCAGTCGGCTGTAAAGGAGAAATGTGAGAAAACGAATGCTTATGACCGAACAAACGCCGAGCTGGAATGCGCGTTGCTTAGCCTGGAATGCTGCAAGGAAGAAAAGGAAAAACTCGGGTCTTCTTTGCGGGAATTCGAGGCAGAAAAATCTCGACTTGCTAGTGATCTGGAGTCGGTTAAAGCACAACTGGAGGATTTGAAATCTTCAATGAGATTTGGGTGTAATATATTGAATGGTGAAAATGGAGATTCAACTGAGCCAGGGCAGTTACGAATCATTCAGGTAAATAGCTTTTCATTTACAGTTTTCATCTCTGGCTGAGTTAGTTGGATGTAACATAACATGGTAAATAAGTTGAAACCGAGTTAACTCGGTGATTCTGCAGGACGATGCTGCCTTTGCAACGAAAGACAATAATTTAGATGTTTGTCACAACAATTTGGGAGCCCAGAAACTGAGATCTAGTATGGAGCATTTACACGAGGAGGTATATCTCTTCTTGAAGGTTTATTTTGTGTATAACATGATTAAATCTATATTGCAGCTTTTGTGTCTGATGGAAATCTCATGCAACTCTCATGCATTTTAATTTTTTTGTTCACTACAGCTTGAAAAGATGAAAAATGAAAACAAAGCTGACTGCATAAGCCATGATGTCGATCCAGATATTCAAGTACTGCAACATGAAATCATGAAACTGCATAAAGTGAGCTCATTTGACTGTTCCAGCTTCTATAATCTATACTGCTGAAACACATTCTCATCTCTCTCTCTCTCTCTCTCTCTCTCTCTCTCTCTCTCTCTCTCTCTCTCTCTCTCTTCCTTTTGGTTTTTCTTGTTGGTCCTTTGGAAGGCAAATGAAGAGCTCGGACGAATGTTTCCCCCATTCAATGATATTTCTTCTGGTGACAATGCTCTAGAAAGGGTTCTAGCGTTGGAAATTGAGCTTGCTGAAGCCTTGAAGTCGAAGAGAAAATCGAAAGTCGTATTTCAGAGGTAGGTCAATACAATGTCTTTGTGCACTCAAAAAGTTTTATAACAATGGCTGCATCCCAAGTTCTCCTAGGGAACTCTAGTCTACAAGAAAAATTTCAACATTTTTTTCGAGCAAAGTTGTCATCTTAGCTTCTATGCATCAATAACCAAGCTGAACTGCGAAAATTGAAATACTCACATTCTAACGGAAGAAAATCAAGCTGTTGAATAATGTCTTAAATGTAAATGCTTGTGAATGTCAATCTTCAAGCATTTATCCGGTTATCAATATCATTTTTTACAGAGGAAAAGTTTGAAAATGGCTCGATATGGTTTAAAAGAATAAAAGAATGCATTAAAGTTGCATTTGCCATCCACAAAACAAAATACTAACACATTTGTTTTTTTGTTTTGTTTTTGTTTTTGTTTTTTTTTTTTTTTCTATCTTTCAGTTCTTTCCTGAAACATCATGGGGACGAGGAAGCCATTTTCAAGAGCTTTAGAGACATAAACGAGCTCATAAATGAAACCTTGCAGCTCAAGGAAAGGCGAGCTGCCCTTGAGGCCGAGCTGAGGGACATGCACGATCGGTACTCTCAGCTCAGTCTCCAATTTGCAGAGGTCGAAGGTGACAGGCAAAAGCTCAGGATGACACTCAAGAATGTTCGCTCGTCCAGGAAGCTCCACTCTACATAGACAGAGTTGGTTTGCATTGCCCTCAATTTTGTAAATAATTGTTGCAGCAGGCCAGATTTGTAGTGGTGAGCAACTGTTACTATAGATTATTGTCATAGTTTATACAATTATATATATAGATATGTATTATCTGGACTCCATTTTTTTTCCTTCCTCTCTTGATTGTAATTAACTGAGGTAAACTGTAAAGCCAATCAATTATTCCATATTTAACCCTTGTTTTCTTGATTGTAATTTTTTTTTTTCTAAAACCTAAAAGATACCATAAAATTTAAATATGAGATGATATTTATTTTTATCTTTTTTCTCGAACATTTTTATCTCTTTCTATAATAATTGAGATAATATGTCCTTATGGAATTTGAATATGAAATAATATTATACTTGAACATTTACAGAAAATATATATCAAACGTTAGTCTATTAAATCATATGACAAAATGCTCACTAAATCATATAATAAAATGCAATCAAATCTTAGAACAAAATGCTCACTAAACCATATAGCAAAAATGAAATGGTGGTTGTGTGCGTTCGAAAGAACTACTAATTTATAAAGGGATTTTTTTTTTAACTTTCCAAAATATGTCATTTTTTAGATTTTATCATACAAATTTAAAATTTTTGACAATTTGTCTTTCAATATATTCGAAACTGACAATTTGCATCCTCAATTAATAACTCTAATATGGCACAAAAGAGTTTTTAACTCAATTAATAAAAAAAAATTAAATTAATCTTTAAAATTGATTAGGGCTTTTAAAGCCCACGACAAGACGAACAAAATGAAGTATGGTTTGTCGAATTCTAAAAACTGATACCTCTATAATCGATCGACGAAGATAGTATGAGCATGTGTGCATAGAAAAAAATTCAAATCAAGTTTTCTGATAATCGAGATTTCCAATTTTCGATTGGGAGGTGTCAATTGAAAGCTTGTAGGACTAATTCTTTAACGTGTAAATTTTATGAAAATCCAACGATCGGATTTTGATCAGTATTTAGAAAACTACTAATCAATAGTTAGCTTTTTCAGGCTAATAACCAAAATCCGACCGTTGAATTTTCATAAGATTTACTTCGATAGAAAACTCGTCCTCCAAGCTTTCAAATGACACCTCCCAGTCGAAAATTGAATATCTTGATTATCAGAAAACTTGAATTGAATTTTTTTTTCTATACACACGTGTTCCTACTATCTTCGTGGATTGATTAGAGGTATAAATTTTCAGAAATCGACAAACTATACATCATTTTATTTGTCTCACCATGGATTTAAAAGCCTAAATCAATCTTAAAGATTGATTTAAAATTTATTATTAATTAAGTTAAAAACTTTTTTGTGCCATATTAGGGTTTTTAATCGAGGAGACAAATTGTCAGTTTCTATTACATTGTGAGGCAAATTGTCAAAAAATAAAGTTTGTATGACAAACTCTAAAAAATGACATACTTTGAGAGGTTATTTTTTTTCCCATTTATAAATATATTGAAGTTGTATTTAATGATTTGTATATATATTCTTTTAGTAAATTATCATAGAACAACTTAAGTATTCCAAGACCACTTTTTTAAAGAAAATTTGGGCATTTAACATATTTTCAAGAATAATTTAAAACATTATTAGTTTTACACATGTTATATAATATTTTAGATGCTTCTACTCTTTTCTTTATGTTACTTTTTACTGGAATTTTTTTTTTTTTAACAACGATCAATAGTGGTTCTCCACTTATCCCGCATGACTCGAACTCAAGACCTATAGGTCTCAAATGAAGAGTCCTACCAACTGAGTACTCATTCTCGTCTCATTTCGAACAAATTTATCACTTATCCTTTAAAAGTTGATGGATGCACATTGCACAGTTAGAGATTGGGTTCCAACTATCCGAGCGAAGCTCGATTTTTTGGTCCAACTCGTTTATCAATAGTAACAAGTCAACTTCGTGTCTTAACGAAATGATTCGTAAATAAAACATATAAAAGTTACTCTTTTCCAACTTTATCGAACAGAGCCGAACCAACTAGTTAACTGAACAAGCTTTAAATTTCAATCGAGTCAAGCATGACTCAGGGTTATTTTTTTTTTTATTAAATGAGGATCAACAATGTTCCATTAATTTAAATATGAGATGCATGTAAATATTAATTTGCTTGAAAGTTCTCGAACCACTCCCTAAATATCACACAGTATTTAGGTTAGAATGCAAACCTAGCAGCAGGCTAGACTCAGTTACGGAAGAAAAATATCTGCCCTTATTGTGTGGTTTCTGCAGGAGCTCGAATGGAGCTGACCTTCTCTCCTCTCAATTCAAACTACGTCGTTTCAGCTGCACGACAACCCGGGCCTGCAGCCAGAAGCTTCTCGCCTGCTCTTCCCCTTTTGCGGATCCTCCCAAGAATTTCTGAACCTTTTTCGGCTTCAAAATCTACAGGTACACAAATTTTGTGGTGTCAAACAATGATATTTTATTCGGATGGCGTCAGTTTGCTGTGAATCGCGGCAAGCAAAGCGGCAACTGGCAGGTCGAGCTTCGGCCGTGAAGTATAGTTAGTTCATTGTCCTAAAGACTCGGACTTTCAGGCATCGTACGAAAATGCGTGGCTTATTATTTCGTTGTTATCTGTCTTAGTTTGATGTCTTTCACGATTTAACTGAGGAAAGGAGTAATCTTTTATGCAATCGAAGAATGAAAATGAGGAATTTGGCTTTATGCAATCGATTATGTGTAATTTTATCTTTTTATACTGTTTGGGGTTCAAAGCCCTTTATATATATGGTGTCAAATTATGCTCATGTTTTGTCTGCAAGTGTACGCAAGTGCTGATATGGTGTTATATTTATGCCTCTGGTTCGCTCTCCGAGTTCTAATTGAAGTGTTAAAGGCACTCACTCCTTTTTGAGTGCAGGCTTTCTTTTACAATCTTGGAAAGTTAGGTCGCGCAGTTCCTTCCGTGCTGTTGGTTTTGGTAATACATCAGCTGTATCCGATGAATCGACTTCAGATTATGTGTCGCAAGGAGCTGACCAGCAAATGGTGGAAACTTGTGACAAACTAATTCATGCGTTTTTGTTTGACAACCCCAAACCAACTGATTGGAGAACTGCATTAATTTTAAGCAGACAATGGGGCACTATTGCGCCTCATTTCTATAAGAGATGTCAGGACCGAGCAGATAGTGAGAATGATCCTGCTATGAAGCTTCAGTTGCTTCGGTTAGCTAGGAAAATGAAAGAGGTATCGGCCTTTTTTTTTTTTTTTTATTCCCTTCTGAAATGGGTTGACACAAGTTGTACGAATTCAGTTGATTAGTTCTTGGTCCTTTTAAACTCAACTTCTTGATCTAGATTAGAAGATTCAGGAAGATTTCTTATTTGTTCTTAATTTTGTTCTTTTAGTTATATGATTTTTTTTTGGTAGATATATTACTATTATTTGCATAATCGTAAATTCGCCGTGGTCATCATTACATTATGTCACTGCATCGAAGTTTAATCTTCTTCATTCTTCTTGGGTCTGGGACCGTTTGCCATTTCCACTTATCTTATCCTTATGCATTATGTACTTATTTGGAATATAGATTTTTGTAATTTTTGGTATAGCTCGCAGAATTATCTCGACCGCCATTCAGGTATTAACTCAACATTTTATTCAGATTGACATTGACGTTCAAAAGAACAATGAGCTCGTTGATGCAATCCGAAAATCTCCGACTGAGGTGCGTGAAATTGTATCCAGACGTCGCAAGGACTTCACCAAAGAATTTTTTGAGCACTTTCATACCGTGGGAGATTCATACTATGATAATCCAGCAGAACAAAATGGTGAGATTAACTTGTTCACAACACAGTCTTTTAACCCTACTTTCATCAAAAAAGGGATGGTTAGATTTCTGCGTATTGTGGATACATTTTAAATACTAACAATCATATTTGAATGTGGATCTAGATAGCTTTGAGACTATGTTGCTCTTATTATCTGATGATTCTTTACATTTAAAAAATGTAAAATGCTGTGCTACCTGAAAATTTAAAGAGAACTAACAAGATTTTCTAGTTGACAGCCTGGATTTTTTGTAATTAAACTATTTCAAATGTGAATTATATCAGGTTAAAAATAGGTAAATATAATAGGGAAGAACTTTAATGTGTCCATTTAGTTTTAAAATATTGTTTTCCTATGTTAGGCAAGCAAAGAGATTAATTATTTCTTGGTTGAAACTTGAAAGCCTCAACTGACTGTTGAAAAATCATGCCAAAGTTTGTTAGAGTTGATTGAATTTTCTGCTACTTTGTTGGAGCCTCGTGATCATATGAAGTATGCATTACTTGTTGGGAACTGCTACTTCCTTGTTGTAGATTGATTCCTTAAGTAATAAAATTACCATTATTTTGTTCCCTTGTTCTACAAATTTTGTGGGCTTTCCTTTCTTGTAACATTTTTTTTAGTTCATCATGTTACTAAAATCTCATATGATTACCATGAGTATGATACTCGTGGTTTCACGAGTGGGCCATTTCATCGACTTACCTTTGAATATAGAGGGTACTCCTCTCTAAGTGTGAGCTATTGATGCTTTTTAGGAATTAAATTTCGGCTAAAGAAGTTTTCTTAGCCGGAATATTTTCCCATATCATACAAAATCGTTGATGATGCCTCCGTTTTCTCCTCATCTATTTCTTCTTGTTTAGACCTTCTTCTTTCCCATCTTTAATCAGACCAACCTACTCTTTGGCATTAACATTTTCTCTCTTTGGGTGACTAGAGATTTTAAAGCTTAAGAAAGCTTGCTTAGCCGAGGTTCTGGCATGTTATGCTGCAAATGCTATGGAAGCACTAAATGCTGGAAAATTGAATATCCAAGACATAATTAATTCTCCTTCAGCATCTGCTGCTCCCCAGCTGGATCTCACCAAAAATGCTGGACAATTGAATATCCAGGACCTAATTAATTCTCCTTCAGTATCTGCTGCTTCCCAGCAGGTTGGCATTTTGGCTGAGAAAAATCAGTTTGGTTCGGCTCTGGATCCCTTGAATATAAAAGCTTGGGCAGGTACCAAGGAGACAAGCATGACGAAAGAAGAGGTGAATCGGTTTTATTGGCTCATCTTGATCTTTATTTTTATGTAGACCCACATCTTTGACTAGGTGACTTGGAGATAATTCTAGAAAATTACTAGAGAAGAAAAAAGTAGTGCACTGGACTAAGATTTTTGCATCACATATAGCGAATAGCAGAGAAGGAAGCTTTAGAATTTCCCATAGACCCATGTCAAAAAACATTACAAGATGAAAAATGTGCATATCTACGTAAACTTATTATTTATTTATTTATTATTATTATTATTATTATTGTTATTATTATTATTATTATTATTATTATTATTTTTGGCGTTGCAGGTGCAAGATACAATGTATCATTTGTATACAACTGCCGTACGTAATACCCAGATGCGTGTGCCGAAAGATGTCAGGATACTCAAGTATTTGCTCACGATTGAAAACCCTGAAAGGCTGATGAGTGCTTTAAACGATGCTTTTACCCCTGGTGAAGAATTTCAAGGAACGCATGTAGACACCCTCTACACGTATGTATTCGAACCCTAACAACTCTCTAAAAAAACCACACAAACGTAGGAAAAGCAGTAACTTTAGTGACCTTATTTATGCCTATTGCCCAAAAGAGTTGACTGTCATACAATTATCTGATTAGTTACATAATGTGCTTTGGTTTTCAATTGTCCCCTTCTTGTTTTATCTTTGGAAGATAAAAAATAAAAAATAGTAACCCATTGTTTGAACAGGACCCCCCAGATACTGCATGCCTTTATTAAGACCCTGGTGGATGCGTATCATTCCAGCCAAGAGGGCTCTGTCATGAGGCAAGCCCGGGATTTAATGAATCCAGAATTCATCCAAAAACTGGAAAAATTGGAGAAGATAATCCGGGATAACTTCTTGTGAGCTTCCATATCATCCTTGTTCAGCTTTTCTCTGGTTTATGCAAACCAGAACTGGTTTCATGAGGTCGTCGTGAAGCCGAATAGTAGTATGCATGAATTTTCAGCTTGAGTTTAGGAAAATGCAAGGGCACTTTGAAACTTATAAAAGCAATATTTTGGGTGGTGCAAAAGAAAGAAACAGGACTACTCTGTCATGATATTGGCCATCCTTACATTGTGTGTAAATTGTATAAGTAGACTTTCAGTAATGGAATTTTCACAGAGATACTGAAAGAAAGGGGATTTGCTATAGTGTTCTTAATTTCATAGAGTTGTAAGCATTGTTATTCAATCCGGGCCGGACCGGTGGGTTTGACTGGGGATTGGGTGACAACGGACCTTTTAAAACTTTGACTGGGGATTGGGTGACAACGGACCTTTTAAAACCTGTCCGACATTGACTTGGTCGACCTGGATATTGACCCACCAATTGACCCAGTCAATACATATATATATTTTATTTTATTTTTTTGGTTTTTTAAAAAGTAATTTTTTATTATAAAAATAAAAAACTATTTATATATATTTATATAGCAAATTTTTTTTTATGAGACACTATTATTAAAAGTTTGATGTACAAATTTATATATATAACATTTATCTTTTACTTTCATGAATATTTATATGATAAAATCTATATATATATATATATATATATATATATATATATATATGATAAGAATTACTATTTTCCAAAAATAGCAGGTTAACTGCAGGTCAAATCTGGTCAGCGATTTGGTCAGCATTAAATACTTGTCAATTTGGGTAAGTTTTTTTTTTTTTTTTTTTTTTTTCTTGTAAAATTGAGTAGCATTTAATGATGCCTTTAATTTGTGGGATTAGTTCATTTAAGTTGAAGTTTTCAGTTGATTTGCGTCACTTTGTGGCTAATTAATTTTTTTTTTCCCTAAATATGTGTACTATCTACGGCTGATTAATTTTTATTTTATTTTCTAAATATGTGGCACTGTTGGTATTCGTTCAATTCAATTTTGAAAATGAGTCTAATTATTTTGAATTTCAACTGTGATGTTTATGTTTAAATTTAATATATTATTTTTTTTTTCAAAATCAATCAACATATATAATGTTTTGATCATTTTTCGAAAATCATCATTGTTTTCCCACAATATTTTTAAATATTTAAATTAAATTAATACTACAAAACTTTATTTTTAATAATGAAAAATCACAACTTTGTTTATTAATATGATATAATATTCATATATTATTTTACTAAAATTAATCAGACATATAACTCTGTCAACATTCGTATTCCAAACAATTCATTTATATTTAATAAACTAAAAAAAAAACAAAAATTTCTATTATTTATAGTACAACTGCAAATTAGATGCATATTGAATGCATCTTTAGAACTTCAAAGAATCGATAAACCACCTAATAAAACTACTGAAAATTCAAGTATGAAAACAAAATTCTTTGTGTAAAAGCTTTTCACAGTATTAAAAAATAATAAACCAATTGTTTTTTTTTTTTGTCAAATTTGGAGTGTACCTTTTGGAGATATTTAAAAACATTATATATAGATTTCAGATTTACGGCGAACTTGAAAAATTTGAAATATACACAAATTTATAAAACAACAGAGTATACATCATATATCTGAATTCAAAATTGAATAAACAAGCTAAATTCTTAAAAGGAAAAATGACGGGAATTAACACGACCTTTACGTGTTTGGCAATTTAATCACGACTTTTAGACCTTGGTAAATAAATACATGACTTTTACATTTTTGGCAAAATGGTGTTTGGCAATTTAATCACGACTTTTAGACCTTGGTAAATAAATACATGACATTTACATTTTTGGCAAAATGGTACATGCTTTTAACGGCCGCGGAAATCTGACATGGCGACCAGGTGTATCCGAGTCAGCGATCAGGTGGCAAATTGTGACACGTGGCAGAATTACATAATTGCAAAATAATGCAAAAGGGAGGATTTGAACCCGATACCTCATATATATAACAAGTTGTTATGA